AAAAAAGGGCTTTGCGAGACTGAGCTGGGTACGCGCTGTGTGTGTGTGTGTATGTGGTATTTTCAATTCAATTTGAAAAAAAGCATGTGACGCCTACGGCTTGGGCAACTTTAATGATTTCCGCCGATTTGGACGATGCAAAAGTCGCCGTGCGAGTAGTAGCTAAAGCCAAACACCAATTCACTTTTTTTGCCACCGCTTTAACTCAACAATCAACATCAATTCAAGGCTCGCCCACCGAAATTGGCGAATTCTTTATTCTTTCAATTAGAAATTTATATAACTAATCATAATGACCATATACTCACAATTAATAAATTATAGCTAACTTATCAAAATAATAAATAAATTATAGTTAACTTGCGTTTGTTTAGCTTGACCTCGAGCCGAAGCTCATTTCTTATTCTTTTTATTATTTTTTTATTTTTCAATTTTTGATTTTCATTATTAAAACTTATTTATATTATAACAAAGAATTACAAAATAAATAACGAACTGTACTTATAATTTTTAAAATTTTCATCTGTTCTTTTTATATTAATGAGAGTTGGCAGCAACAACCTAAATGACCATACAACAATTGCAGCAACTGATGCAGTTTTTATCATCAAGATTATCTAATGTAGAGGGTGTTTGGCTTATAAGATGTTAAAAGGAGCTTATAAGATGTTTTAGAGCTTATAAGCTCTTCTAAAGTGTTTGGTAAATTTTTGAAAAAAAATCTTATTTTTTTTAAATAAGCTGTTGGAGACCAAATAAAATCTTTTTAAATAAGTACCTCTACCCCACCTTTTTATTTAAGATCTTATAATGAGTAAAAATAGGAAATGAGCTCATTATTCAAACACTCTAAAAATTAATCATAAAAATAAGATGTAACAACTTATCAGCTCTAAAAACATCTTATCAGACGTAAGAGCTTATCAACCCATGCTTATGCAAGAGACAAAGATATAGAATGCCAAACGGGGTTTTTATCATTAATACGAAATAGATTATTTACGAGTAACGTAGGAAAGCACAACAATTAGTTGGCTTCTCGGTCACATGCCCTAACAAAAACCTCTATAAATCTCCCTAATTCTATATTAAATGTAGCTTTTATGATGGCCTTATTTTATACTATAAAATGGTGGCTTTGTGGCTTGACAAAGGAGAGGAGACAACAAAAATTGTGAAAGAAAAATGTATTTCTAAAGATCATGTATTCTCTATATTATATAGATATATTTTGAGCTCTTATTGTGTGACGGGTGTAAGTTTCTACTTCACTTGAACATGCAGTTTCGGTGAAGTTACAATAGAAAGATAGGCTGAGCGGTTATATCCCATAGGCGACACGAGAAACCTTTCTGCACCTCATTAGAGAAGGGATCGTGAAATTCATCTTAAGAGAGCGACCTAGTCCGCGCCTCACCTTGCCTATCTTTATATAATCGTGAATTATTATGTCAATAATAAAAAGAGTGAACAAATAGAGTTCAAGTCCTAACCACAAACTTCTTGATCAATCCTCTGAGTGCAGCCGTGATTCCAACAGTTGGTGTTAAATATAATTGAGGACGATAATTGAAGGTTTAGTTAATACAAGGGAGATAAGTAAATTTTATGCATTAATGAAAGGAGGTATGTGAAATTAGCTTTTTATTTAAATATTGGTGTCTTAATAGTAATTCACTGTCAAAAGGGTCTATTATCGAGACCCCCCTCATTATTTGTTTTCATAGAACTAGACCTACTTCATTATTTGTATTTGATCCTAACTAACTTATCATAACCCTATTTTACCGTTACATTATTCCAACTCTTCAGCCCTCTTAACCTTACCTATATATCGTTTTATTTTCAAAACAACTACAAATTATGAATCTCCTTCAATACCCCCTCTTTGGGCCTGCACTGCGCGAGAATGGCCGCAACCAACACCAAAACCTTGCATCGCTGTGTGAAATCTAGCGCCGCCACCAAAACACAATGCCACCAAACCCTATATCGCGACCAACACCAACACCAACCCACCGCCGCAAAAAAAAAAAAAAAAAAAAGTTGTCGGCATCGCCAATATCGCTATTCTCACCATCTAACCCTAGCCGCTGTGTCTCTCGCCGTAGCAGAAAAGGGGAAGAGAGAAGTATAGAGAGAGCGAGAGAAACAAAGAGAGAGAACAAAGAAGATAGAGAGAAGGCTGCAAATGACGAGATGTGTT